GGTGTTTGTCCGGAAGCTCCGGAAGGCCTATGGGAAGAGCGAGTGGAGCACCGTAGACCGGCTGAAGGACAACAAACCCACCTACAAGCTCGACCACATCGTGAAGGAGAGGTGAGCCACCGGCTGAGTCCCAGCAGAGCTGTCCTCCTTCAGGAGGAGCTTTCACTGAAGCTTCCTGGACCTCTGGAGCCTTCACTGTGTCCATCCTTCTTCAGGAATCCTGGAGAAGAGAAGGCTCCGGGGAGACCTTCTAGTGGCCTCCCAGTACCTGAAGGGGCTCCAGGAAGGCTGGGGAGGGACTTTGGCCAAGGGCAGGGAGTGACAGAACAAGGGGTGATGGCTTGAAAGTGGCAGAGGGGAGATGGAGATGAGATGTGAGGAAGAAATTGTTTGGTGTGAGGATGGTGAGACAGTGTCCCAGGTTGGCCAGAGAAGCTGTGGCTGCTCCTCCCTGGAAGTGTTGAAGGCCAGGCTGGATGAGGCTTTGAGCAACCTGGTCTAGTGGAAGGTGTCCCTGCTGCTGGCAGGGGGGTTGGGACTGGATGAGCTTTAAGGTCCCTTCCAACCCAGGTCATTCTGTGACTCTATTCTGGGAGTTTTGATGGAAAATGGTGTTTCTGGGCTGGAGCTGAGGCCGTGGTGTGCTGCACATTGGCTGTAGCAAAGCGTGAGCGAGCAGGGAGTGCCTGGCTGGCCTAGGTGGCTCCAGGAAGATGCCAGGAGCTCTCCTCCTCTCCCTGAGCAGTGTTTTCCTTGGAGGGAGCACTGCTGGAGGGTGAATTGTGCCAAAAGAGTTGGTGAATTTGGTGGCAGTGAGAGAAGAGAGGACATAGGAGGGAGGGAAGCTGCTCTGGCAGATCTCTTCGTTGTCGCGGCGGTGCCTGGGACCCCCCTGTGCTGGTGTGGAGAGAGGATAGACACGGCACTGGGAGACAGACGCTGCCCCAACACGCTCTGTGCTCAGGAGGGGAGATGTCTGGGCACCTGGCAGCTCCACCACTGCTCGAGCCTCCTCAATATGGCCGAGGGGAGCTGTGTGCCGCACCACGGGCCACCGTCGCGTTTGTTCTTGGTGGGTCCAGGCTGGAGTTCCCCGACACTCCCTGTCCGTGGGTGCCCTAAAACCTGTTTACACCCACCCTGTGATCAGGGGTGTTGCTGTCCCCTCACCAGGGAGGTTCCTGGCTCCCTGGAGAGCCCTGAGCTGTGGGGAGCTGCTTGGAGGTTCCTCTGGGCCTGCCCAGGAAGGGACACCCTGTCCCTGTGTGTCACCAGCTGTGGTGGGACGTGAGGAGATGGATGCTCCACGGTGCCTGTTCCTTCCTCACACGAGGTCTCCAGCAGCCCCAGCAGCTTTCAGTGGACACTGGGGCTGGTTGTGATTTTCCTCCGCCCTCCCTCTTCTCCTCCTGCCCGGACACAGGTACCCAACCTTCATAGATGCTCTGCGGGACCTGGACGATGCCCTCTCCATGTGCTTCCTCTTCTCTACCTTCCCACGGACGGGCAAGTGCCACGTCCAGACCATCCAGCTCTGCCGGCGCCTGGCAGTGGAGTTCCTCAACTATGTCATCGCCTCCCGCTCCCTGCGCAAGGTGCGTGCTGTGGGGAGGGACAGGGACGAGACCTGCCCTGCCCCGGGGGGCTCTCGGGGTGGTGGCCTTGGCCCCAGGAGGGCTCGGGACCAGCTATGCCAGCAGCTTCAGATGGGGAACGAGTCCTGCCAGGCTGTCTGTGACACTCCCCTGATGAGCCTGCTGACAGGGGAAGGGTTAACGAGCACGGGGACAAGGCAGCACCTGTGGCCTTCTGCCCCCTGAGCCCTGGTGCTCTTCCCCACCAGGTCTTCCTCTCCATCAAGGGCATCTACTACCAGGCCGAGGTTTTGGGGCAACCCATCACCTGGATCACCCCTTACGCCTTCGCCCACGATGTGAGTACCCAGGATCCATGCGGGACCCTCACAGCTCCCTGCCCTGCGGCCGGGGAAGGGCTGTGGGACCATCCTGCAGCTCGTGCACTGCAGAGGCAGACGAGGCTGCAGGGGAGAGCACGGCGGGGGGGGG